ACACACACACACACACACACACACACACATACACACACACCTCCCTTACTTTTGCGCATTGAGACAATCACAGTCAGCTGGTTCCTGTTTCAGTAAGAAAACAAGCTACACATACACCCCCTCTGTGACCCCAGTGGTGACCCCGGATCTGCAAACAAGGTTTAAGCACATTCGAAAAGGGAGGGAAGGGCAACGTCAAATTTTTTACCCTGAATTTGAAAAGATACACTGAGTTTTCTCCTTTTGTTTGCTTTCCTGTTTTAGATAGCGTGAATGCAAAGGGGATGTCGAATTATATGTTTTATTGAATTCGCTCAAGAAGTCATTGTATAAAGTCCTTACGAGAAGTGCTGGGGTTTTATATTGTTTCTTGTTGTTGTTGTCGTTGTTGTTGTTGTTGTTGTTGTTGTTGTTGTTGTTGTTGTTGTTGTTGTTTCTGGTAAGTGTTTTACGACTCTCGCAACTGCATAATAATGTTATAGGAGCACATGGGACACACCAAACATTTTTAGTTGGTAGGAAATTTTGAATTTTGCCCGGGTGGCGACTGAAGCCTACTACTCTTACCGCTTTTGGACCACCAAGGGATCTTTAACGTGCGCAACTTGCACACGGGACCTCAGAGATTTTTCTCCCTTGTCCGAGAAGGCTAGGCAGGTGTAGACCTTACCTTCCATAAGATTAGGGGTGTGGCTGAAAGACAGCAGTAAGGAGCAGCCGAGAAGAAACAGTAGAAAGGCTGCAGAAAGAGTCAGGAGCCCAGAGGAGGGGGCAAAGGAGGTGAGGGAGTGGGGGCAGAAAGTGGAGACAAAATCAGACGACAGAATATTGTTAGAGAGCAGGAAAGGATGTAAAAGGAGAAAATTTTAGAGAAGAAAATTTTCCCGTCGCTATCCAGATTCGAACCCAGGACCTATTAAATGAGAGGCGAACGCCTTAAGATCTAGGCCACGAGAGCCCGTAAAAGTATTGTTAGTCTGCCAAGTACAGATGGTTTGGATTGTGAACTCTTTAAAAAAAAATTAAAACTACGAATGATAATTTGCCAAAATCGTTTAGACAGCAAATCTTCATTGATACGGTACCAATAAATGTTTTGGACTGTATACCTTACTCAGTAGGTTGTTGACCAGTTCACTGGTGTGGTTTGCTGCTTCTTTCTTTTTAAAAAAAATCTTATTCTTATCTCCCCGCCTTCTTTTCTAATATGCCACAAGTTACTCTCCAGTAAACCCTCCGATCGTCGGCACTTTTATAACCTAATTGTGTTGCAAGAGACTTAAAACATTGACTAATGCCATGTTCATACTGTGCCGGAACAACATACATTAGAGGGAACTGCTGCTTTTTCTTTCCTCATTCTTTCTATCGTTATTTTTTCTCTACTTGTTTTGTATGTTTGTCACTCTTTTGTGAACTGTTATTTCCCGGGTGCCTTGGTACTAGTCGAAGCAGACTTTGTGCTGTTAAGGCTAGAGAAGTGATCAGAGTAAGCCTGATCCCCCGATAGGACTTCTCTGTCGACATCCACCCCTTGGCGCTCATAATATGACCTTATCTGTCCCTGTAGTTTTATTCGCCCCGCATAATTTAGCAAAATATGATATTCTTTTCATAATTTCTGGTTATTTCCCTTCATCATTCTTTGTTAAAATTAACAGAATCGCATAATTTCACATTTTTGGGCTCATTTTGCATAATTTCAGAAAGTTTTTCTTGCTTAAAACGACGGGGGACAGCCGTATGCAGTTGCGAGCTCCGTAAAACCTTACTAAAACAAACACACGTTTACTAAAACTTAAAACCCTTTCTTCTATGGCTTTCCTAGCCCTCGGTTCCGAGTTCCACAAAGCGAGTTCTGGCAGCTTCAGCAGTGGTAACTACGACAATACAGCGGTTCGTCAGTGGGTCATTCAAGGAGGGCCAGGGGAGGTCCTCAAACTTACCGTGAGTAATGACTGAATAAGATAAGATAAGATAAGATAAGATAAGATAAGATAAGATACGATAAGATAAGATAAGATAAGATAAGATACATCTTTATTGTCCCAATCCTG